ACTTCCACAGCCCAGCACACAACATACATTGCAGCAGGAGCAACTGGAAAGCAGGGCTGATCTCTCTTCTCCCCACCCTTTATGAACTGGGTGCCAACTGCTCCATAACACAGGAAATTACAGAAAGCTGTAGGTTCCTGGTTTTGCTGCTGGTAGTGGAGAGGGCTGCTCACATACTTCTTGCACAGTTCTCCACCTAAATCTGAAATCACAGGTAAACTTCCTAAGAATTTCATGCCATCTATTGCATTTATCTTGTATAAGTAAATGGGCTGAGATTCTTATCTCCAATGTTTTTAACAGTTTTTAATAGATACCCCTGTTTTGCTTTGCTCAAAGAACCTAGCCAGCTGTGTATTCACAAAAATCATTCAAGCAAGTGCTCCATTTTCTAAATACTTCTGTGATTTCAGAAAGGCTGCCGGGAAAAAAAAAAAGAGAGAAGAAAGAAAAAAGAGAAGACAGTAAATTCAGCCCTGTGCAGACAAAACAGAAAGGTAACTTATGAGTTCAGCTCCCAGCAGCAGTACCATGGGTTGGTACTGTGTACCTTGGGATTTTTGGTTTGTGTAACCGAAAATCTCCCTAAAATCTAAACATTTCCTCCTCCATTTAGGTACAGAGAGCTACTGTCTCTATATAAAATAAATTAGGCCAGTAGCTATGCTTTTCAGAATACTAAGCAGTACTCTATCTGTTTTCACAGTAATAGAGGACTTTCCCAAAAAGCTTCTTCACTGCAAGCCAGTGGTAAAATAACGTCCTAAAGAAAAAGAGAGATAAAAAATTAAGCCAAAACCCCAAATATGGATATAAGCAACAACTGAGGAATGGGAAAACAAACCAAGCTAGGAGTGAAGCTAATGAAAACGGTCGGGTTAGCAGCCCAGTGAGATGCGGCTAAGTGCCGCTCCCAGATGGGAACCTGGGCCTGAGGGCAAAGAAATGAGTTTGGGATCCTGCAAGAACACTCACATTCTGGGTCAGGCTCTTCAGTCATTCATTAGCACTCGTGGTCAGCTGCAGCCAGAGAACACTGGGTTCAGCAGTGGAGGTTATTCCAGTGAGAAGACAATGTTGCAAAATGATGGATGTCGAATAGGAAAGGAGAAAATTTTTGGAGGCAATGAATGGCAATGTGTCATGAACAGAACCTGAAAAATCAGACTTCAGTAGCAAATTTGTAACTGAGGCCATACATGGGAAGAGCAGTTATTTTATGACTGGACTAAGTGTCCATGGATTTATATGCAGCACTTAAAAAGCTTCAGTAAATGTACTCCAGATGGCAAAGGGAATGGGTACAGTTGAGTTCCAACACAAGAAATTGGATTTAAAGCCTCTTTCTAATCACTGTCTATTTCTTGAACAGTTTTGGGTGAAAACTCCTTCCTTGGCTGTTCCTCTAAGGATAATATTTGCCCTAGCCTCCTCTGTGCCAGGAACCCAAGTGCACCCCTGAAGATGTGGAGGCACAGCAAAGGCAGCCATCAGCTAGATTTCAGGGACTACAAAACAGGTGTCAACCCCAGGCTTATACTGTCTTCTTCTCTTTGCAGTTTCTCTTTCAACCTATGGGGGTTTTGTTTGTTTTTAAAAGATTTTTTTCTCCTGCTTTTTTATCCAAATAAGGCTGTTTTCTTTTTCCTACTTTCACACAATTAAGTTTTTTCAGAGAAAAGACAGATGAAAGAATTACTTCTTGTCAGCAAGACTTGTACCTGGGTGACATGCAATTCCTTATTTGGTTAAAACACAGACTAATGGTGTTAGAATGCATTCTCCTTTATCAGTCTATTATTTTCCAAAGCCGTTTTAAAGAGCACAATGGGATTCAGAGCTTCAGCATTTGTTGCTACAGCAGTGAGGATGGATTTGGCCGAGTTTCACAGATACAAACACGATTCACAGCTGCTGCTGACTTAAAGATACATAATCAAAGGTTTGCGTGTGAAGTCTTCAGTTTCCAATAAACAGATTTTTAAAAAGAGGTTGATAAATTTAGGAACACTTACCATGAGTATCATGTAAGCATGTTTCATGTTGCATGTCTCTAATACAAAAGCAGAAGAGTTATCATCACTTGGTACACAAACCTCAGACCTCATGAGTTGAAAGTGTACTTTTAAGTGAAAATATAGTATAGAAAGCCCAAAAGTGCTGTGATTTATACAACATAAGGGGTACAAGCACTTTGGAAGCTCTGAAAAGGCTCCAAGGCTCCCTTTGTCCCCTAACTGGACAGTGAGAGTTGGAATTTTGGAACCTCTGGGCTCACAGTTAATGAGAATGCCATTTGCTTGGGTTTTAATTGCATTGAAAAGAGCATGGGAGCCTGCATCAGAAAGATCTTTTAGGGCTTTTGTAAAAATGTTTGCCTTTACTTAGAGAAGAACATTCCCACAGGAATGCCTTTATTCCAGTTTTTTTTAGCCAAAATAACTCCATGTCTGTCTTCAGGCAACAACAAACCACCCTCACAGTCAGTGACACACTGCCCAGGTCCCTCCACTGCCATGCTGGCCCACTGGAGCCACCTGCACGTGAGCTGAGGCAGCCAGGACCCCTTCCCCGGGGATAAGCACTGCAGCCACACACAGCACTGCTCCACCAGCTTCTTCTACTTGATGGACTTCAGTATTGCCAAGCAGTTTTATAAAAAGGCTGACTTGTGCTCAAATCTTAATAAGGGGATAGGGCACTAAATTTCAGACTTCTTAATTGCTTCTTTAAATACAAGTTTATTAGCCTATAGTGCAACAAGAAATGAAAATGAGCAGTGCCAGAGCTCAGACTCAGCAAAACATGGAAGGGATCCCCACTCCAGCCCTTATTTAAAATAAACACACCCCTCAACAGTTCTTTATGCTGTATTTGATCAACCTCTGCATTTTTCTCTTACAGTGTGTATATGGCTGTGGTATGGCAATGAATCCTCTCATGCTGCAGGAGGAGACCAGGACTTGCAGAGCACCAGGCAGGCTGGGTTTTTCAGTGTGCTCTATCCAGGTACATGTGGCAGACACTGCACAGCCAAAGCTGCAAGGAAAAACTGCTCTTAAATGGGAGAGAAGGCAGCAGTGAGACCAGATTGCACAGAGTGAAAAGTGGGCAGATGGGCACAGACGAGAGCCACTGTCACTTGGGATTCAGCTTCGGGTCCCTGGCTCTGGTGGCGCTCCCGCCACCACCAATTTTCATCCTCAGTCTCCACCACTGGAATGTAAATACTCCCCTTCTTGCCTCACCTCTCTGAATTTTCAGGTGGCCACAGCCAGCAGATCTGCCCTCTGCATCAACACACAACTGCTCTGGCTGGGGTGGAATTCCCCGGTTAAATGACACGTGCAGTGCAGCTCACCTCCGAGCAATGGGAAGAACACCAAGAAGCCTGCAGTGTTAGAAAGGAACATTTTATTGCAAGAGATTACAAACCTGGCACTATGGCCAAATGTTTCCATTACATCACAATTGCTACCCATGTATCAGGCAACAGCACCTACAAAGCACGGTGGATTGAAATATCGAATCATAATGCAGTCAGCTTTTTAAACAAAGAACCACCCTAAAAAGTTTGGGGTTTTCTTTAAACAAACTCAAAACTATATAAATCAATTTTTAAAATATGAGACTGGTGTTTAAATATCCAGGCCACTAACTACTGTTATAAAAAGTGGAGAAGTCTGTTAACCATAGTGCTGAACTAAACAGGGTTTGTTCACAACCCATAACCATTTAGTTAAAAGCAAGTCCTTGTTATTCACTGCTAATATTTCCACATTTGTTCAGCCCAATTTATCTTCTGTAGGTTTTCAGAATCAGGTAGATTTAATGCATAACCCCTCTTTAAAGCACTGCAGGAAACCTAGAACCGTAACTAGCCCAGGAAAAGCATCACAGTCAAAATAACATTGCACCTTCCCATCTCAGTCCTGTGACACTGACCTTTAGAAACTCCGCATGCTCTTCTCTGAGCCCCAACTGATAACTCACGTTTCTGCCGTGATCACTTACCTCAAAAAGCTTGGTGATTTCCCTGAGCATGGCTGAGGCAGTGGGAATTAGCGCAGGCTCACAGCTCAAACCCAACCCGCCTGGCCCGGGCTCGCACCCACTGTCCCTGCCCTCGGCACGGCCGCGCTCGCTCCCCTCCCAACAGCTACGGTCAGCCCTTCCTCCAGCGGGAGGGAGCAGCACCCACCTCCTGACACTGCTGCCTGCTGAAGGCGAGCCCTGAGGAGGAAGCTGGATCTGCGGGCAGAGCTGGACCCCCCAGCCCCTGGGAGCAGCCCACCTCATACAGCTCCCCCAGGCCACAGGAAGCAGGACCGGGCAAACCGCAGTAAATGCCCAACATGTGCTGTCTGCTCGCCTTCGTTTTCCATGGCTGAACACACTACCCCCTTGGCAGCAGCTCCCGTGGGCACTGTCATCACCTACCCAAAGTTCTCCAGAAACATCTTTTCAGGGAATGCAAGCAGTTTTATATCTGAAAAGGATTCAGAAATATCACCGGGACTAGGGAATATAGGCCATCATCTTATGAAAAGTGTTTGGGGGGTGGTCTTCTACAATTTTCCTGAGGCTACTACTAAAGAGACCTTTACCAGAATCTAGGATAACTTCAGAAACAAGTAGGACTATGATAAAGAACCAAAATCAACCCAACAGAAATCACTGTGCCACTGCAGCCTTTACCCCAGAGCAACCCAAGCCAAGCTGAACAGACTGACACTGGTGTTGAGATGAGCAGCTCTGGAAGTCCAGCCCTTTAGCACAGACCACCAGAGCCCCTCAAGCCACATACCATCAGACTGCCATCACTAAGTGACCGATTTCATCTACCCTCTTCTACTACATAGAATTTTGGAACCTCCAGAGAGGGGGATTTATATTTCCTTGTAGATAATGATAAAAAATATCTGTATTTTCACACAACAGAAACCAGGAAAACAAATAGCCCCACTTGAGGACGAGAGGCTAAGGACAGCTAATAGTACTTTTAAAGATTATTCAGCCTGTATCAACCACATATACAATTAATTTAATAGTCAGAAGAGTTCTAGAACTCCTACATATTTTTTGAACTATACCACAAGGCCAGCAGGGCACACAGCCTGTCACTGAAAACTGTTCTTCATCAATAGAATCTCATTTTGGAAACTGATCAGCCCTAGAGCTCACTGCTCTTCAGACACAACCTTGCATTTTTATTTTAGTATTACATAAAGCAGCTCACAATTTGGGCTTAATTAATTAAATAGAATTAGCTAGGGTTTTAAAAATTATTTTTATGAATCTAGTAAAATTTTGCTAATGCAAAATTCTGCACGGTATGGCTTCACCTTACAAGCATTCTTAACAACACTAGATAAATATCATTTGCACTTAATTGATTTTTTCATTTGCTTAACAGCCATAAAGTATGGTGCTCTCACAAGCACCTTTTTTGGTGAGAAGGGTAAACAAGCACTCTATTAAAGCATTATAAACATTCAAGGTGATGTGATCACTTCCCTCTATTCTGTTTCAACACACTGCTTTAAATCTTCAGTTTTCACATCGTATAAAAAAGTTCCACAAGTATCCACAAATTCAGAAATTTGTTAGTCTGCATACATGATTTGTCTGCAATACACTTCAACATCCCAGTTATCTTTTCTAAAATCTCTGAAGTTTTTATTCCTCCAGCCTTTAAATGTAATGATGTAGATTTTCCACTTACAAGAGAATAAATTTCAACAAGAAAGCTAAACTTAACTGTAGCAATTTGTACAGTTAAACAGCTGACACCACTAATTTAATGACAGCCTTGACAGAGCTAGGATGGCCTTGTCTGAGGCCTCTGTCTTGCACAGCTGTGCATTTTTAGCCCATCCATTCTATCAGAACATGAACAAGCCTCATGTGTTAACTCTGAACTCTGTGCATCCAGGAAGACAGACATTTATTCATACTTTCCACCAATCAAATGTAATGCATCTGTGAACAATTCAGTTTATTGCAAGTAAATGTACTTTTACTTAAGATCATGAGAAGATTCTAATCTCAAGCAAGACAAATCAATTCCACAAACTTAATTCACACAATGCAAATAAATGCTTCACATTATAGACATTTAGATTTTCTTTAAACCTTTTTATTTAGAGATTTTTCTGGTAAGGAGATATACCATAGGAAAGCAATTTCACTGGCAGTGAGGTATGTATATACTCTACCAAAATACTCCTCTTGCTTTAACTGCTTTTAACTTTATTTACATATAAAGAAAATATCAATGCATATCCTTGGCTTAACTACAGTATCTGTTACCCTATATGAGTAAAATGAAATGTTACTTGCATACAAAATTGATTTGTAGAGGAATCTAATTTGATTAAAACAAAAATCATGTTCTGAAGACAGTTTAAATGAACAAACACAATTCATCATGACCAAGACACCTGCACCATATTTCCATCCTCACAGCACATTTATTTCAATAATTCTGTAAGTAGGTCCTTAGCATGAGCATAGTGTTACAGTTTTCATACATATAATCACATCCAAAACAAGCTCTAAAATTTAAGTTGTAAACATTCTCTTCATATGTGGAAACATTTCAATCTGTGTTTGAATTTTCTAAAATGATCAATCTTTTAAACAGAATTATAAATGAAAAGCCTACTCTAACCGTGTAGTGAGCAATGCTTATTAGTACATTTCTACAGTGTTAAATAAAATAGTAGAGGCAAACTTCTGTAAGCAAGTCAGACTTTAAGTAAATTGTCATAAAAGTAACAAACTTGTTAACAAAAAGATGCTTTGTAATAAAGAAAGTTGGATTGAATCTACTATGATACAAAAACATAAGGGTAAATACCATCTTTGTTGACAAGTAGGAGGTAGCATGGATGCACCACTTTATTGTCAGTGAGAAATGCAACTGAAGTAAAGAATATTTCCTTACCACAAATTTCCAGTATTATGTACATATTTCTATTAGAAATTTGTTTAAACAAGTTTCCCTCCACTTTTTAGTACAAAAAGCCTCATGTGATTTAAAAAAAACACTTACACACCTAGATAGAATAGTACTAATTGCCCTATTTGAACGAAACAGTCTCTTGAACTATGAAGTACATGGTATTTAATGCCCTAAGTTGAGTAAATTGTATTAGCAGTTCTTGATATTATACAAAACACTACATACATACAAACAAAATATAATAGTATCTTATTTTACTATGTAATTCTTTTTGGAATAAACAGAACCTTGATTTGGGTAACACTGAAGAGAACGTGGTTTCTTTGTTTTATTAAAATCTGTCCTTTTAAGTACCCATGTGCAACAATTTAAAAATGGCTGCCATACATATAATGGTCTTGTATTGATAGTGAACACAGTAACTGACAAAAACATAATAAACCTTAAAAACACATCTTCCACCCTATATAAAATATAAAGACTACTTACTGTAACTGTTAAGTATTCAATTTATTTTGATGTTACTGTAATCCACTTCCTCTATTTTCCATCTTTAGCATTTATAAACATAATTTAGTGTAGCCATTTATTTTAAAAAATGAAGTATTTCAAATTTACATCCAATCAAAATTTAAAATGTTTCTGTGTTCTATGATGCTGCTTCTGCCATCAGTAAAGAAAATGAAGTTTCAGTAATTGAAGCAGGCTTTTTAAGTAGTGATGTGACCTCAACCATGCCAGCTCCAGTCCGTGGAAGATTTGCGTTGACAATGTGTCGCTGCAAGTGCTTTATCCAGTCTTCTTGAACAGACAAAGGTCCTCGAAAGACCAGACCACAAAACCTATGCAAATATTAAAATTAATTCATCAAGATACATCTATCTCTACTGAAAAATTATAAAACAAAGACAGTAAGAGGAAAGTCTTAATTTTCTTTAAGTTTTTCTTAGTTTTCTTTAAGTTTCTCAATGTCTTAGCTGAAAAACTTAGTAACTGAGTTCATTAGTAGTAACTGTGAGCACAAAACCCTGCAGCTTATACAACTCACATTCTCACACTTTCAATGCCAGTAATAACAATCTGTTGTTCTTACATAAGGTTTCTTTTGCAGGACAATATTACTCAGACACAACCAGTAAGATTTTAGTTAAGAGAAACAACTGGCAATCTAACACCCAAGTGTGACTGAATCAAATCCTCCTGTTTAAATTAAGGAAAAGAGGCAATTCGTTTCCCCCCTCATTATTCAATTTAATCACAAACATTTATGGATACAATAATGAATCTCTTTACGACTAACATTAGTAAGCTCCTAAGAATGTATTCTTCCAACCAAAGTAACACTGTGTACCTGCATCTGAGTATGTAAACTTCATCAGCACTATGAGGTAACGGCAGCATTTTCTTCTTGCTTCCAGATCTTGACCTTGACTTCTTTTGTTTACAGTCTAAAGCTAAGAAGAGAAATTTTCATATGTGAAAGTAATACTTCAATGAGTGTTAGTCAAACAGAGATATTCAGCAAGTATTCCCTATAGCAATAATGAAAAGACATCTACCTCCTTGTTTATCTGTATTTAATTGTAACGTAAATCCAAAACAATTATAGCACATTCTAAAAAATATGCTGGTAGAACACATGAAGCTGGTTTTTTTAGGTTAGCATTGTGCTTGCTCTTTGAAAGACTAGATAATTGACATTCAGCATTAAACTGTTGTTTTAGTATCAGCAAGCACCTACAAACCTACTGCAGAATTATACATAAGCAAAGCACAACTGCAAATTCCCTTTCATGCATATAACCCTGTCAAAATCTCAGAACTTGTTTTGTAGTTCAAGTACCATCATAAGACCATTCATGTTCAACCAAGTTACAATTTTATGAAGTTGTAGCTTTCAGCTAGTACAATCAGGATTTTCTAGTTTGAATAAAACACCTGCCATTTGTTTTCAACACAAAGCAAAAAACTGTCCTTTTGTTCTAAGAGTTTCAAATGAAGCTTCCCCTTCACTCCTGTCTGAATTCTGATGAAGCTTACAAAAACTATGTATTAGTCCTTGGCAGTGGGAGCTGGTATTAGGACAACCAACAAGGATGGCAAGACCACTTTTTAAATTCAGTCTAAGCATTTGAAACTGTGTATGAAATTAACGTGTGTGAACAGGAAACATATAGCAAAGGAGTTCAGACAGCTCTGAGGTCTGTATCTCCCATAAACAAATGTAATGGGAATCGGAAACAAAACCTGGAGATTCTAAGAAGCAGTCAAAGTGGGGGATGAGTGGATTAAACTGAATTAATAATGTTATGATACAAACAGCTGATAAAGCTCAAGAAGTTTGTGACTGTTTGAACTGAGAAGTGTGTCTAGCTACACTCTATTCCAAAACACAAGACACCAACAATATAACTCCAACACAAAAACTTTTGCAAACAACCAGTTATACCACTTGAACAAAAACTCCACAGAAACCAGTAAGAAAGACAGTACCAGGTGGTATTCTTACCAAGAAGGCATAATGCTATGCTACTGAAGCATCTTAACAGTAAAATGGAAAAAAAAATTGTTACATTTGGCTAAAGTTTTGACTCCTAGAATATGAAACAGAAGAATTAACCTCTTAGCATTCTGAAGCATGAGACATTGTCTGGTGAGGTAAAACATGTTGATTTAAAGAACACACAGTCTTGATTGTATCCTTAATTTTAATCATGCCCTCCAAATGAGCATATCTCAAGCTTTTATCTTGTACCCCAACTTTCAACTTGGTAGAAATACCAGATGTTTTCCAGTTCTATCCCAGGACTTAAAGATTCCTACCTATCTAAAATTTAGAATGAATTTCTGAGGTTTGAAGGTATCAGAGGACCAATAAAATAACTGGAAAGCAGACACCAACCTAGAGAGACTTCTTCAGATCAACATTAGGAAAATGACGCTTAACAGCATTTTTTTCAGACAGCAACAACAAAACCAATCTGGATAAAAAGGCAGTAACGCAAGGGGGAAGCGGGGAGAGAGAGAGAAATGGCCAAGATGCTTCTGGAAAAGCATCAAGGGGTTCTTAATTCTTCATTTAATTAGGCAGAAAAAAGCTAACTATCGTATCAGGTAGGAACTACCACATATGTAAGTGTTTTACATACCACAACTTCAGTAACACCAGCAGCAATGTAAGCAGATAAAATACTGGAACCCAGATACCCATGCTTTGAAGAGAACTGTTTGTATGAGGCGCAACTTATCTTCAGCACTTACTACAGCAAAAGCTTTGCCTTTTCCATTTGTGGAACATCGTGGGAAGAAGGGAAACAGAAGTCAGTAATACCCGAATGCAAATGTGTCCGTGAGTTGCATCTGATGACAAGTTAGTTGATGTAATTTTATATGAGTGGAAAAAAAAAGAAGCAGTAGTGACAACAGACTCCTGCTAGAGAGGCCAACCTGTATTTGGAACTTGCTGATTTCCTTGATGTTGGCAAAGACATTCATTCTCATGAAAAAATTTGATTCTACTCACATGCATCTGGAGCATTTCAGAGAGCCCTCCCTTTCCTATAAGACCTGGATTGGTCTTCTGCAACAGACTGCTGACACCTAATGGGTTTTTGTGTGTGTGTGTATAATTTTCTGAGAAAAAAAACCCTCTGAACTACTGTGCAATCAAACAACAGCAACACTGACAGAAATTGCCATGATTAACCAGGAAAGGTAGTTTGTACTTCCTCGAAAGGTACCTTTTCCATGAACAGTGAGAAAACAAGGAAAACAAAAGAAAGGGCATGTTCTCTCAGCCATTTATGATGGAGGCACCATATAAGGAAATTATAAAACAAAGAGAAGAAAATACTACAGTAAAAGACCACAGAAAAGGACTCAGATTACACTACAAATTCTCAGAGCAGCTTAGCTAAATTTGAAAGTAGATTTGCCCAAGCAAGAAGCTGTTAAGCTGCTATAACAAGACAGAAAACACTAAGAACACAAATCCTGCAAGGGTATTTGCAGGTGTTCTGCAAGGGTAATTTTTTTGTTCCCTTTGTGTTCTGAGATAATGAACATATTCTTTCACATTTTAGGGAGCTCAAAGCCGCACCAGTATCTTTTGAAGTTACTCCAGTGAAGATGGAAAGTGAGTGAAGGAGGAATATCTGAGTAAAGCTCATTGAAAACTACAATTCAAACAGCAGTTATGAGGCATGCGTACCAGTAACCATCACATTAATTTCATTTTGTCTATCCAGAGAACAAGTTTAAATAAAGTCACATGCACACACTTGAGTACTCTGTTGATAGAATGCTTACAAGTGGTTGCAAACATCAACTAAATCACACAATTGCCTCAGCCACTGCCTCCCCATAAAGCAGCCATGTTCTGACCAAAACTCAGTTCCTGCTTTTTCTATGCCTTTTCTGTAACAAAACATGACCTCCTCAAAAAGTCTTATCATGTCTGGGAAGAGACCAGGGCTAGTTTAGCTCCAGTAAGCTGCATGGAAACTGCAGCAAATTGCTGGAGAGAGGTAGGAACTACTGATCATTAACAGCTACTTTGTAGTTATAACAGCTTCCAAACTATCATTCCTCATTCTCTATAAAGACCTACTTCTTTTTGGAAGAACTCTCTTTCTTTCAAGTTTGGCCACCTGGTGTTTCCTAGTTGATAACTGAAAAACTTCTTGTAAACAACCAGTCACACAACATCCTCAAACTGCTGATACAACATGATGGAGAAACAACCCATATAAAACAAAAGACTATCAAACTTCGGAGGATTCTGCTTGAGATACTTATGTACAACTTCAGAGCACACTACTTCAAAATATATATGCTAGGTAAAAACACTGCATACAAAAACGTCTGTGATGACTTATCAAGAAAGACTACAAGCAGATGGACATAGAGGTTTCAATGAGCATGCCTATGTGAATTAGACAGGTCACAATTAGATGCCCTTTCATGCCATGACGTGTGGTCAGCAGTTCCAAATTAAAATGCTCTGCTTCCTGATCTCCCCCAACATGAAATGCTTCTTATTTCAGGAAAACTGAAGCTGGGTCTTTTATTCGGACTTCATTACTTTTGTCAAAGTGTACATAAGCTAAAACAAGTTGAATAATTGGACATAGAAATGGAACTAATTAACCATTTGAAAACACTGCCAAGTAAAAAATAATGAACTTTCTTGTACATTTAGTCAATAATTTTTCAAATTCAATCACTTACTATCTCTCCTCATCACTACTGCGCAGTGAAGTACATTGAATAAACCCCTCCTATCATTTGCTCTCTGTAGGATTTTATAAGATGCTGAAAATGAGCTCATCATGCCAGTTGATTTGTTATGACTGTAACAGCACAGAACAATGACACACAAAGCCAGAGGATCTCAGATTCCTGCATGTTTGATATGCTTCCACCGCAACCATCCCAGAGCTACAAGTTTGACAAAACAACATTTGAAATTATTTGAACACATAGTGGCCCCCATGAACCACTACCTGAGCCACACTGTTGGCTTGAAGGTCAGACTCCTTGCTCTGTACTTTACTGTTCCCTCCCAAACTTCTGACAAAGCAGTCTCCATCTATAGAAGCAGAGGCCAAAGAAGAAAGCGGTGATTCCCAGAAGATGAAAGCCAGTAAGAAGAGACTGAGTGTGTGAAAAGGGTCAGGGTCAACAAAGAGAAGATATAAAAAGCCAGGGTGTAAGAAAGAATCAAGAGACTTGGGGAGAGCCAGGGCAGGAGGGAGCAAGAGAAGCCCAGAGAGAAAAAAAGAAAGGAAGCTGAATATACAACTACACGAAGAAGAGTGAGATGCATTTTGAAGATTTCGTGTTGGTTTGGTCAGTGCTCTAAAGATACTCAGAAGAAAGAAGCAAATTGACCATCTGCTCTGAGAAACACCAATATGTTGCTATACATCAAAACAGGTATAAAAGGAAATTAACATCTAATCAAGATGAGCGATTAAGTTGTTAAAAAGTGGACTGAATAATAACAACAAAAGTTCCAGCCAGACATCTGAACACACGGGTACTTGCTCTACAGTGGATCTATAACGCATTATTATAGGCACAAATAAAGTTTAATAAAGATTAACCTCAAACAGCCAACAACCTAGGAACTTTCACTTCTAGGATGTTTTTCTTGAGTCTATTCTCCAAAGCTACCGTTATGCTTAACTTTGTCTATTATACTATTAAAACTGTCAAGTTGCACTTGAAAAGAAAAATAGGCTAAGATTTAACTAAATATGATGACATTACTGACTGAAGAAGCAGGATGTCTGCTAGAAGAGCAATATGATAACAGTCAATATCAAAAACACGTGCAGACAAATGGAAAATCTGAGACTAGTACGTAAGCTAATGTAATGCTTGGAAAGGTGTCACTTTGGTGGCATGCAGGGATCTCATATTTCTCATGTTATTTTTCCTAATAAATAGTAGTGCCTAGACAGGTCCCATAACAACTGCCAGATAAAAGAATTACAGCATTCATGTTCAGACACTATTATTTTATTACAGCAAGAAACTGATATAATTATTCAACTGATATGTTTTATTTTTGGTAGTTATGTTTGCTTTAGAAGATATAAGAAAGGCTAAATGAGAAGCAACATGTATAAACATGTCCTCATTGTCTCCATACAATGGCTGAAGACCATTGAAGGTTTAGCTGCGGCTGAGGCCCAACTGAAGACATCTCAAAATTGCTGTCAACCACAACCATCATTTAGTAAGGAAAACCCGGGATCTACTCAAGAGCAACACTCATAACAAGAGTGTACTTGTGTGTACTTTAGAACTAGTGTGTACTAGTGAAATCTTGCATTAAAATAATTCTCTTCACAAAACGTATATTACAAAGTGGAATATCAATCAGAACAACTGTTTAAAAGCATATTTTTTGGTGTACAAGCCTTGCATTAAGCTTGCTTGAGTGAGAAGTCAATGAGCAAAGTTTACAACCTTCACAGTTGCAGCACAGTAATGACTAAGTTGCTACAAATACACATTGGCATGATGTTACAGCTAGAACTCAACATTGACTCCCTAAGTCAATGGTTTCAGTGACGGGCCTTTATCCATGGTGTAAGTTATTTATCTTAGCTCCAGCTTCTGAGAGCAAAAGATTTTTTTTTTCCCCCAACTTTTGTTTCTAACCTTTTATTTAAACTTTGTTTCTAACCCCATATTGTTTCCAACCTAATTCAAAACCAACTTCTAGGTCCAATGATAGAAGACTCATGAGTTTTCTTTCCATTCTTTTAAGAAAAGTGACACCTGTTCTGATGACTATGCAACTACTTCACTAGCAAAATACGTTTCTTAAAGAAAACAAACAAAAAACCCTGAAAGTACCTAAACCAGCTTCCTTTACTTTTCCCACTTAGCAAGAGGGAAGCTAGGTACGAAGTGCTTGTCTAGGATGCAATCTCTGTACTATCCTATCTGCCAGTGTCTCCTTCATTTATTTACTGTTAAGTTATTAATGTGCAATTTAAATATATAGCTATTGAAAAATATTTCCTCAGTAGGTATATAAGAAAAGGAACTTACCACAGGGATAATATCAAATCACAGCAGTGGTAAATGAAGTTCACTATCATCACCCTTCTACTGAATAAATATGAAAATTTTCAGAATCACTGACTAAAGGCATATTCTCCTACATGTTAGGTATTACTACGTCTGCTGACTTCCTTCCAAAGCTGCTTTGTTATAGCACTAATGTAAAGCAACAGAAGACCTGGCAGCCACAGGCCTGTATTACAAACACATTACTTTCAGCCTTCTACAGAGAAAGCCTGCTACTCAGTTTGTCATTCTTAGCATAATGAATTACATTTGCAGATCAAAAAAGGATTATGCATTTTCCAAGTGCATTATGTAAAAGTCTGTGTTTATTGACACAGAAAACTGATGGTTGCCCTTCTTAATTACAGAATATTTCAGGCTTCATATCTCCAAATTTTCCTCATTATATTGCATCTCTGCTCCTCAATTTGCTGTTGACCATGTGAAGTCCCATTAATCTCAGCAATAATCCGAGTAAACTCAGAAACTGCCTACAGCCAAGCAAGCTACAGGTCTCTGAAAACAAATCAAAATATTAGAAGAATTTCAAAATGAAGTGTGTTTTAATAAAAAACATTAACAGCAGTGCCAAATGCTGTACTACCCTCACTCAATGTCAGAACAGGTAGTTTTTGGGTTGTGAGCCAAACAAGATATGAAACCAACTACATATCATATGTTGTTAGAAATAAACAGAGTGTAAAATAACTTGCTTTTCCTATTTTACTGGAGTATTCTTTGTAACTATAAGTACTAGACAGTAAAAACTACTTGTTGTATCGTTGCCTTTTTTCTCCCCACCACTCTCATTTCTGAGATACTTTGAAACACTTCATTAGAAGGCCAGCTATCTGGTTTGGAAGTTGCAATATCATAAGAGAATGAATTTAAGCAACCGTCTCTTAGTTTTGCTTACATACCTTAAATGTTGGATCCAAAATCAAAGACTAAGAATGAAAATCAGACACGAGAGTGGACAACAGCAACATACGTTTTCTTACAGGTTGCTGAAGTTTTATGGCAAATAAATTGTTTACCGGCAGAAGCTTCAGAATTATTTTGAATTAACATATGCTTTTGTCCAGTCTGATGAAGAAAATGTATCATAGACAGACTTGCTTTTACATCTGTAACAAAACATACCTGTCCCAGTCAAAAGTCCAGCACTCTTCTTTCGTGCATAAGCGCGTAAGTGGTTGGACAGGCTAACAGCACTTGTAAACGTCGTATTGCAATGCACACACGTTCTAAGCTTCACAGGCATACCTATCATTCAAAAGAAAACTATAATCCAGTTCTCTCTTCAAAAAATGAAATTCTCAAAGCGTTGTAAAAAGTTTTCTGCAATAAAGATGGTTTAAAATATATTCACTGCATTGATGCAATTGTTTAGTATATTAGAAGGATCCAAGTTACCCGTTATTAGTTTTCCACCTAGTGCTTTAAGCCAAACCATGTTATTTGAAAAAGAACAGAAAGGAGGCAACTTGAGCCCAGTAGGCTACTCTGCATTTAATACCTACTACCAAGCTCCTACAGATCTCCACATACTGAAGCTCTAATTCCAAAATACAATCCTGCAATTTGAATAGCACAATTCTGTTGAGAAATTTCAGAGCTTTCAGAATTTCCAATAAAGAGAATTTGAAAAGTCAAGTTGACAAAGTGGTAATTAAAAGTGTTTTACCCATAAGACTAAAGCACTCAATACTAAAATTAGGCTGCTGTTGAAGGCTCAGAGAAAAAGGTGGTAAAACACACCACTGAACAGCTGTTAGACAAAACATTTTGTTCAGTGCATTTTCTATTCATTACTTTAGATGCACAACTGATAATGAAAGTAAATTATTTGAAGTTTTTTTGCTAAAATCTTGTGCTAAATAAATATCAACAAAGCAACATGCTATTTATCACACGAAAACAATGAAACAATACTGAACTCCTCACTTACGGACCAAGAAACCATTGTAACTTATCTCCTCCTCAACTTCACAATATTTCTCCCTGCATTTTACTAAAGATATATTGTTTTGGTGAACTAATATTTCAGGTTCTCTACTAATAAATTATTAGAAGAATAAATGAAAAAGCTAAAACTACTCAGCTGTAAAGTCTCTGCAGGAAAGAAAGAATGCTATTCTCCAGCAGCCCACAGAAGACATGCTGTTTTTTCAGGCAAGTTACAGAAGAAGAACACCTGGTTGGTAAAAGCCTTTATAAAACTAAAACCAGAATTAGGAATATTTGCCTTTTTAGGAAAAAAAAAAAAAGATTTTCAACTTGATGTTAAATATTTTCTTATTAACTCAACTGGCACAGTGCGTTAGTTATCAAATTCTGTTACCTCAGCCACAGAAAACTATCGGGCCCCATTCAGAACTGTTAGTACTATGCGAGCGTATGTTTATTTTTACTTGTTGTTCATCATAACCAAACAGGTTCTACCTAGTATTGAGCAGTAAATATTATACAGAAAGCAAAACACAGTGTCAGGTTTGGCAAGCTATTCCTTGAGCATTATTTTTCAAATCATTAAACCTGTCAAAGATACACTTCCTTTATTAAGCAATCTCCTGTCTTAAGGGACAACCACAGACGTACAGAAGACATAAAATGTAATTCTTTTCCACTTCTACTATGTCATTTTAGAAAGCCACCCTTCTTAAGAGATTTATTGCCACACTTTTATAGCCCCTAAAAGAACTTCTGAGCACATCAGATTGTTGGGTTTTTTTGTTTAAAGAAAGAAAAGAATACAGGTGAAAAAGTACTAGGCACTGCCAGTTTTACTAGCCTGCTTAATAACAAGAAAAGAAACAGCACAAAAAAAAGTCAGGGGTATAAAAATAAGATCCTGCTCTCCAGTCTTGAAAATCCTGTAGCATTGGTGGTGTCCAACCAAGAAACCAGTAAATGCAAGCTCTACATACACATTAAAAAGGATGTTGTAAGAGTTCCCCAAGACTAGAAATAATTCTCATGTGACAAGTAAGTTAAAAACATCACCCTACAAGCCTGCTCTATTAGTATACAGAGTAGCTAGGAAGTTGATTGCAGAATTGTTTCATTAGCACAATTCTCAGTGGAGGGACAATCTAGGTCCTTATTGGTCAGAGGCCGTGCATTGGAAACCTGCTGGCTACAACTGTATGCCAACAAAGCTTGAACCAGCACAGGTTGTCTCTCAGGATAGTCAGGCCCTAAGCAAGCATGAGTTTCTCACAGCAGCCACAATTTGCAACAAACAAGAATTAATCTATGTTGTAAGAGTATGTTTGCCTAAAACCATCAAAATTAGTTGACAGTGATTCACCAATCTGAAGCATTATGCATTTATAATGGTATCAACAGTTCTGTTAGTTTGAGCAAACGCTGCCTTGCACAAACCTTGAAGACTTAAATGCAGTATTCCTAAACCAGCTGTTCCAATGCCCAAAATCAGGGTTGCAAGCTCAAACATTTCAGAACTGTTAGTCTACCAAATATGCACAGACACTTCAACTTGTTTACTGCAGGATGTGTTGTCTTCCTTACTGAGGCTCACTTTGTGTCCACTTTCAATGTGCAAGCCCAGTCATATGCAGAACAGGAACTATATTCCATGCAAAAACCCTTCAGTGCTGCTGAGGGGTTTTTTCACTTTAGGAAAAACATGTCAAAAAAATTTGCTGTGCTACCTCTTGCAGTCAAGTGTCCTCTGGAAATGGAACAAGAATTAAATGAACAGAATCCCAAATAAAATACTCTGCACTTGTACATTTTCTACGAATGATATGATTCTTTGGAAATGTTGTCAAGAAACACCTTCTTACCTGACTGCATAGTCAAGTCCATTTTTTGTGGCTGATACATCAATGGACTGTCTTCATTTAATGGAAGAACACATTTCTGAACAAACCTCTTTCTTGCAGTTTGATTATGAATCTTTTGAGGGGAAATATCAGGATTCCTTTCTTCTCCTAACCTCTTGTTTTTCAGGAGTTCTATCAGTGTAAGTGACTGATTTCTTTTTTCATCATGTAGTACTGCTTTTGTTTCATCACATTCATTTAGGAAACTCAGCCCTTCTTCCTCTGATGCAGACACAGATATATCTTCAGTCTTTAAGCCATTATGGTATGCTTCAAGAGGTATAACATTCTGAGATAAAAAGTCATCATTTGATGCAAATTTCTGAGCAACAAATGGTCTGGGAATAATACGGCGACTGTTCAAAGCCTTTAGGATTTTTTCATACTTCTCTTCATTTTGCATCATTTCATTCAGAACACAGATGGGAGACTTGTGCGCGTCCCACTTGGTTTTGCCAAGCCTCTTCAGGTGTCCTCGCACATGGTTAGACAATCCAATTTTAGTATCGAACCAGCCACCACAGAGCTGACATGTATGCTCAGAGGAAGTTTCAGATTTCTCAATCGCTACAAAGAAAATAATTATAATGTTTTTTGACAATTATATACAGTTAAACATGACAACTGCAAATCACAAGAAGAGAGGTTTTACAAGAAGCTAAAGCAAGCCTTGTTCAGTGCTCAATAAATTCCTTTGTCCACCCAACTTTGTACCCAAATAAAAAAACAAATCTTACCTTTTCTAACACGTTTAACTGGAGTCCCTGTTCCAGCTCTTTTAAAATGCTGCATTTTGTCACTTGTTGCTATCTGTTCTGGTGAAACAACATGACGGGCTTCATAGCTTAGTCCAGCTCTGTGAAGATGTCCTCTGACATGATTGGACAAGCCAACACCTGTTTCAAAGGTTGCTGGACAGTATGGGCACGATTTCTTTTCAAGCGACAAATCAGTCCAGTGGAAAACTGAATTATGCTTTGGCAATGCTGATCCTACATTTTCTAAATTCTGAGGATCATGCAAGTCATGCAAGAAGTTACTACCCTCAGCATCTTCGTAATACTCAAAATAAAAGCCATCATTCTGCTCATAACCAAGTGAAGATTTATCACCAGCTTCATTATCTTCCATTTTACCTTTGAATATGGGGAATAGGTTTACATGCTCCTGATTAATATCACTGTAAGATTCATCCTCCACAGACTGTGTAGTGTAATCACATAGTTCAACATTATCCCATGAACTTTCATCCTCCGTTTCATAGCTGTCTTTTTTTTCAGCAGAGTTTAGTTTCTGTAAAACAACAACAGTCATTTTATGCAGAAAATCTGGATAGCAATCCAAATCATCTCCTGTAACAGAGCCTTCCCTCCTGGATTCTTTAACCACTCTCTTTACAGCTACATGCCTACGATCTTTACAGCCTTCTGCCCTTTTGCAATCAAGGCTATTTGAATCCATGACAAAACAATTATTACTTGATGAAGAAAACAAATGTAAAGTACTGACAGATTTGGACTCTTCCTTTTTTAAATGCAATGGGTAAGAGTCACTAGATTTTTTAATAATCCTGTAGTTTTCATATTTGTGTCTATATAAATAATTACTTTTTTTGGAACTAGCTTTCTGCTTTGCTGCTTGATGAAAACATCTACGTTTTTGGTCAATGCTATTTCTAATAAAAAAGTTCTTGTTTGTAGAATTTAGATTGCACACACTTACAGATGACTGTGAAACGCTTTTCCGAGCCTTCTGTATCCTGTAGGGTCTCTTGTGAAGTTTTGCGAAGTTACTGGATTGTGAAGTAGAGCCAAATGATCTTTTTACATCCTGTTTTAAAGCAGAATTCTTTGGGAAAGTAGAAGAATGTTTGATCAACTGTTTTGTCCTGCTACGAAAATCTAAAGATTCTTCTATTAAACTGCCTTTTCTTTTATCTAGTCTAAGATGGCTACCAAAGGGATCAAGGCATGATGCTGAATGCAAATATGCCATGTGTTTTTTTAAAATGCTTCTAGCTGAAGTAGCAAACGGACACAGCTTACACATATATGTCGATGACTTTCTTGAGGATCCTAAATAAGGATCTTTCAAGGATGCCTTTTTCTGACTTTTTCTCTGGGACAAGTCGCTACCAATAATTGAACATTTGACTACTGCTCCATGAGCGATCCCTCGATGGCACTCCAGTTCATTTTCTGTCACAGCCATAAAATTGCATTCCTCACAACAGTAATATCTTTTATCTTTTTCATGGGTCTTTGCATGCTGCACAAACGTTTTGGGACAATTGGTACCAAATACACACTGTGGGCATTGTAACCGTGCACTCCTACCCTCATCCTGAAGTTCTTTCAGCTCACGGATTTCTTCCATCAATTTCTGCCTTCTTTCCTGGTGAATTATCATATGTTTAAGAAGTGAATTACGATCTCGAAATGTCCTTCCGCATTCCCTACAGGCATAGGGCCTGGGGACATTGAGGTGTCGGAAATGACTGTTCCCATCTAAATGGTACATCATATGCCTATGCAGATGTTTCTTCTCTCTAAAATTCACATTGCACTTTGTACAGGGATAAAATGATGGTTCATCAGCACTGAAAGTAGATGGTGGTTCAGAATCATTCTCTTCACATTTGTTTTTCAAAGTATTGGATAGAAAAGTGCTAGTGTGAACAGGAGAAGTATCTTCTGCACAGTTACTAGTGGGACTATAAATGAGCTGCTGGATACCATCAACAGTTTCCAGCTCTTCATCTGTAGACTCAGGCTTTACTTTACTCAAAGAATATTTCTGTGGTTCTACTATTTGTAGCTCCTCATTCTGCTCTAAGAATTCAACATTTAATAGTTTTGATTTACTAGGAATACAACTGGTATCATCAAAACAGTCTTCGGTATAGCGTGTTATTTTACTAACATCCATTTTCCTTTTTCGCTTCTTTTCTAGCCCTACCTTACAGTGAATGGGAGACTTCTCTATTGTTTCTTCATTAGTCATAAGAAACTGTATAAACTCTTTCTGTGGATCCCAGCTGGGATCACATCCCGATCTGAAGCCACCTGTACCTGAGGAAATGCTTGTTAATGTATCGACACAATCATCTTTTACTAGTAAATTTTTATCATCTTCACAAACTTCTACTTGGTCTACTAAAGTGCTATCTACACTATTTCCTACTGTTTTCTGTGAATCACAACCAACTGAAGCAGAGGTAGGTAGATTTTTAATGGAATGAGTCAGGTTCTTAGCATGTGCTACATCAGGTAACAAAAATAAAACTTGGTGCTGATTGGATTTCTGTGTTGTACTCTTGGCGGGCAGCTGAAGATCATGAACCACTGTCAAAGTTGAGCAGGAATCTGAGAGATGACCTCCAGGCTGTCCAGTGGTTAATGAAACGCTGCCTTTATTCATAATGGAAGTCTTTGTTGAGGTGGAGTGTGAAACTGGTCCATTAACAGCAGTTCCTCTAGACAACATAAAGTTTTCACTAGAAACAGTAGGAGCACCAGTGTGTATAAATAGAGAAGCCTGGCCTCCACTTAAGGCTTTTTCAGATCTGTCCCTTGATAGCTCCTCAGTCAAAGTGTTGTTCTGAAATGATGTGTCACTCTCGTCTGGTTTGGGAATGCCACCTTCTTCCTCAGATACAAAATTATCATCACACAGGATTTCTTCTTCTTTAGCACAAGTGACTCCAGTATTTGTCTCTAAATCACCCATATTGCTGGTCTGTCCATTAAGTACATTTATACTAAAAAACAAACAAGAAAAAATCAGGCAATTGCAGAAATAAATAATGACTTTAATTTACAGCTTTCTTCAGGATCACTCTTCACACTGTAATCTAAAAAGATGTTTTGAACTTGTCAAAAATCTACTTTTCCTTTAGGATATCCAGAACATTTATAGTGAATCAATGAAGCAATAAACAAATTATATTGTTTTTGCTGCACTATTAATAACCATACAGCAAACTAGTCACTGCCAAATATCCCATTCAAAGAAGCCTGACACCTACACACAAACAAAATGAGGAAAATTAGATTGTCAAAACAAAAGCAAATACATTCTATATGTACATAAATACAGATTATCTTCAGTTGTTCTCCAGAAGTAAAAGCAAGAAGTAAAGGCTACCTAGACATCTATTAGCAATTCTGGGGGGGGTTTTTTAAACATTCTTTAGGAATCTAAAACAGTCTTTATGTTTCTCAAGGTAGCACTTTTTTGGAAGTACTTCCATACAACTGACCTGATGCTACATGGAAACCTGCAGAAGGGAAAAACACAATGAAGCTGGTTTTGAGCATCTGATTAGTGACAGAGACACAGCTAAGGATCAAACTCACTGAGGAAAATAGATGTCTTCCTATTCCCTTCTTACAAAAGGGCTCTCCTTGCTTTAAAACAAATAAATCCCATTTGCTTATACAGCTATTTTAAACAATAAGCAAATTAATCAACATCTTATCAAAGGTGGGGGGAAAATACTGTAAGAACAAAACATTTCATTGGGATCTACCTACCAGATGAAGTCACTGTGTTGAATCCAGAGCATGACACTAACAATATCTTCCAGTACAGAGAACTACTGCATATTAATTCCCCGTGGGTGGCCTTGTCTTTCTACAAGTGACTCTTACTCATACATCAAATCATCTATTCAATGCTTAGTGAGCATAAAGGAGCTGCCTACACATGAAAATCAATGTGTGACCAACAGGAATGTAAACTTCAGTCTACCCTGGCATTCACTTTTTATAGAGGTCCTCAGAACAGAGTGAGCATACGGCATTAAAACATTCATCTAGGAGTCAGGACATCTGTATTTTGCAGAAATCATATATTTTACCCTTAGAGAATACTACTCACTTTGATCTTTTGTGGGATTTGATTCCAGCAATCACATAGTTTCAGTTACTAATTAGCATTTTGAATGGAACTCAGTTAAAAGGAGTTATTACCTAGATTCTTTGAATTAAGATGTTATAACTCACAACTAATATCCATGGCCTCCTGCAATGGTCCTTTATCGAAATCCAGGAAGACCACTTTGGACATCCTTTTTTCCTAAGGAGAGAAAACAGCCTAGTTAAACAACACCAGTTTCATCTTCATACATAATGTTTTAAAATATGTCCCGTATTTTAAACTCAGCAGAATGACAGTTATTCACACAATTCAAAGCTAACTACAGCTTCACAGAAATTCTCTTTTATTACACTTGTTTTGTTTCAAATCAGCAAAAGGACAAAACAATTATTTAACCTCTCTGAGTTTGTAAGAAACAAACCCTAATGCCGATAACTTACTTTTGCAGATAAAGTCATTCTATTTGGAGTAGAAATACAATGAAAAATTCAGTAATGAAAAAAATATTTCCTTTGCTACTCCATCACTGAACTAGTCAATTTAGAAATGCTCACATCAGAGCCATAATAAACGTTTAAAGTATGTGAAATATTTGATTGTATTATTATCTATAACATACCTTTACGTAAATGTTCTATTAGACACCCAGTTCCTCATCTTGCCATTTCTTAGATTTTTGTTTCTCTTTGCTGTTTTGAGATGGGTCATTTTTCACTGTAATAACGACTTCCAATAAGATCACATCCAAAGCTATCACCCTAAAATGGTGATAATGCACCACCCAGCAGGAGTCTTTACATCACCTACAGACGTTAGAAATGGGCAGTGCAAACATGTGCCAAGAATCAGTAATGCAGAAGTCAATTAAAGAAGTGAAGCCTACAATGATGCACAACAGCTCCAGCAATTTTACAACTCAAAAACGTAGGCTTCATACAGTATCAGGCAGCAAAGTACAAAACTGGTCACCAAACCTTGGTAAGAAATTGAGTAAGACAATTTTGCCTGGAAGAGGCGCATTTTCCTTGGTTTACTGCTGCAGAAGCAGACAAAAGCGTGCTCAGTCAATATGAGAGCCTGTATTAGCTTTTCTCAACAGGAAGCAACGTTGCTAACGAAGTGGTAAATTCAGTGTTAATGAGTGGCTTCACTGTTACCACCTCTGAGGTAAAACCTTCCATGTTCCAAGTTCCACCCATCTGTTCTGGTGTGAGGGGTTCAGAGGAAGAACAGACGCTTCCCCATTTAAAGCAACTTCACTGGTACCCCCGAACAGCGGGGGGGCAGACTGAGAATATGGTGCTGCTTGGAGACTGCAATCCTCATTATCAGAATGGCTCCTCAAAACTTCACACAGGTTTACAAGGTGAAGACAAAATTATATTGCTCTACGTACAAAATCATAATGCTAATGAATATTAGTATTAAAGCTGAAGTTAAGAAAGTGGCTAAGACACCCTGTGGTCACCATTAAACTGAAATTCTCTTCAGAGTTATCAGATATCTAAAGCATTACCTAATGCAATCTTGTAAGAGACTCCTCTCCATACTGTGTATTTACGGAGACAGGGAACCATTCCATATGGGTATGATTACAAGTCTTCCATGGTAAAACAGGTATCCCCACAGATTTCAGTCTTTGAATCAAGCCTGAAATGCTTACGGTATCAATAACATCACTGGTACATTTTAATATTTTTTCAGCTAATTATCACTTTTATTCTTATCATCATGTGTCATTACTTTCCCAGCTATCAAGTTGGTACAATTCACTATTTTTTGTGCAGGACAACAACAATAAAGTTAACGGTTTTAACAGTGTGGCATTAGAGAAAACAAAAAATGTATTTTTAAATTGCAATAATTTAGTCTTGTGGTAACACTGAACCAAGATGCAGTAATTCAGTTACATTACCTACTCCATGTGTCAGAATTTATGCAGTAACAATGACAGGTATAACTAAAGACACAATGCCATGTTTTTTTAGGAAATGCTATCATCTAACTTGTCTCTTGGGGAAAAAAAGAAAAATCAATCATTGTAACTAAGATGTAACCAAGGCTATGCAACGAACTTTGCATGCTTCCATCAAGAGTTTTAAAATCATCTTCTCTATACCATATCAGGAATACAAAATTATTAATTCTGTCAAAATATATAGCATTTAATACTTGGTGTATTTGAAAAATTAAAAATTGAGATTAAACTTTCAATTTGTAGAAAGTACTGTTTATCATATCCACTACCAGGACTATACTACCTCAACTAGATGGTTGAGGTAATTTTTATTTAAGGATCTAGTGCAATATACCTAGGAGATATATACATGTAAAAAGGGTGATGGAAAATGTCTGGAAAAGCCTACACAAGTGTACACAATTCCAGCTCCTACCTTTGAAACACACTTCATCTAAAGGCTAGGTCGAATTCAATTATTTAAATTCAATTATTCAGTTCAATTCAATTATTTCAGTTAAGCCTAGAATAACTGCAATGCACTTAACAGCGTTATTCTTGGTTTACATGCTATGTTATTTACTATACAGAAATTACTTAATATTCAAAAGTAGAAAGAAACCAATTATTTATTCAGCTAAGCCACACTCCACTATTAATTGATTCAAAATCTACCTAATTTTAAATACTGTTTTTATTTATAAAGTATCAGTTTTAAAAATCATAATGTGTTCTGCAGATATGACTGCCTGTGGCCAGACAGTCTAAGCATTAAAAGTGTAAGGTCAGATCTATCTTCAAGCTGACAGATCGTAATTTAAATGCCTTAAGCTAATCTTATTGTCTTAAAAAATCTTGAACATCAGTATTTTTGCAAACTATCAGCACTTGCTATAACACCCTTACTACACTACATCTTGAGGTTACTACAGAAGAAATGAGGTGATAATTGCATATTAACATAATTATTTGGTAATCCCTCCAAGCAGGCTTCCTAGGTCACTCAGTAATTCAGATTAGATGCAACCTTCCTGCCATCAGATCTATGCTGTCCACTTTCTGTTCATTAATAATTCTTTTTGATAGGAATGTACTTAAATCCATTGTTCTATGTACATTTTTAATTGTATTTATTACCAGTAGGTTTATGACCTTTCCAAGTCCTCATTTCATAACTACAACCTTTAGGACGCAGTGGGGTCTCACACCAAATCAGGAGCACTGCCTTCATGCAATGCTAGTTCAGTAAAGCTTACACCTCAGTGCAAGCTCAGTGTCATTTCACAGGGACTTACAATAAATTTGAAAGCGCACTGGAGCTGAAAAATTAAGACAAAAGAATTTGGCTGAGTTTGTGAAAAGCATGAAGTGCCTTTATGCATTCTGATATCAAGTTTCTCACTAAATTCATAAATATGAGCCAACGAGCTAAAAGCACAGAGCGACTATTAAGCAGCACAAAAACTTAGAAGTCATCTCCTAAATGGTTTGAATTTAATCAGCCTAGTTAAAGAAACTGAAGAAATACAGTGTCTTTCAGCAGTGCTGTAACAAGGCAAAAACTTACTTGTCCTGTGCTAAATAACTCCTCATAAGTCAAGTCCTTTAAGCAGATGTGTGAATAACCAGGACACTCAAGGGATTGTTCAAATATTCAAGACATAGGAAATGTGCTTCAGGTTTGCACTGCTCCCATTTAGATTTTTCATTGAGACTTCATTATGTAAATAGAGAAAACTAACAAAACCTTCCATTTTTCCACAAGTGCTCCTGCAATAAAGCTTTCTCAAGTGACAAGACTGTATCAAAGGTGATGGAACCAAAGTCACAGATTTTTTGGGCAACAAACAGAAGACCAGAGAGAGTTTAAGTACATCATGGTGCAGGACTAAAAAAGCATCTCCTTCCATTTTGCCCCATCAGTCTTTGCTTTAAAACCTTAATCATGGCAAATATCAAGCACAGAACTTCTGTCAAAAGAGAAAGGTTTAAGAACCTCTGGAACATGAAGGTTTGTACAGAGTAATAGAGGAACTGGTAGTGTACCAGCACAAACCAGCCACATCTTGAGAGAAAAAGAACAACCTTAGAATTCAGCTGCACAATATTTTTGCCTCCTCCATATAGTAATGCACAGAGTTTATGCCTCTGGAGCTTTGGGTGTTACCTAGCAATATTAATGGCCCAAATCAGTAAAATCACGATACTTTGATCATTACAAGAATACCTATTACTTGTTTTCCAGTTTTTTTTTTTTTAAAGCTATCCCACTCCACCCTTCAAATGGAAATAAAACCACAAAGCCTGACAACTAGAGGTGAGTCAGTGACTCACCTTGCCTTCCCTCAGCTTCTATTTGTGTTTGCAAATTAAGCTGTTGAAAATACATTTCCTTCTCCACAGCAGGAACACTATTTGTAGACTGCCTTACTTAGCTTTGAAATCTACAAATGAACACTTCTGCATTTTTTCAAAATTTCGTAGTGAAAAGACAGCTTGTTTAAATAAGCCTAATACCATGAGTACCCCCCCCCCACCTACTTTACACACAGTCCACGGTTATTAATCTAATTACAACATGAAGAGTTCCATTCAAAACTAGTTATCTTCAATACAATTCAAATCCACAGCTGTTCATGTAACAATACGAATACTGGAAAACTCTCATAGCTAACTAGACTGCCATACTAAAATTTTTTAAAGCAGTATGAAATATAATCAATACAACATTTGTATTATACCTAAATAAATACAAAGTTACTGACACCCACAGTATAACCTTTTTAAAATACTGTTAGAAAGTTCACTGAGTTGTCAAGTATCTGTGGAAAAAGGTGACCATAGAGAAATTCTCAGTTATAGAGCAGCCATGACAAAAGCAGCTCATCTTCTCAAAAAGATTATAATTGGGAAGATCAACCCAAAGCACACTTTTTCAGAAAGTTATCTTCCTTAAACTTAGTTCCTAATGCAACGCCTTCAAAAGCTCTCTGTCACAAACAGTAAGTAAACCAAAAATTCCTTAAAAATGTCAAAATTTCAGAAACTTGATTTCTAGTCTAAAACATCTAAGAATGGTATGTTAACATCTCATGTGAACGGAAACTGAACAAAACTTAACAACAACCATCATACAATTAGAAATCACAAAATAGAATTCCATTATTGCCACCAACCACTCTTAATCTTACTCCTCTAGTATTGATTTGCTTGGGGAAATAACCAGTTTGTCACAATGGGG